CTTAACAGACAGAGAGCTAGGTCGCAGAAAGCTGTGACACAGAGAGCTGGGTCACAGAGCTGCTGAATTACTGAGAGCAGAGACACTTAATAAAGCTGTAACACAGACTAAGCCGAGTCTTGAGTCCTGTGCCTTACTACCGGCGACGTAGCCTCTCTGGGGGCTGCACTCCCTCGTGACTGCCTTGCAGACATTCTAGCTTTCACTGTCCTCATACTCTTCCCGTGGGGTTCAGTGGCCAGTGGACCTCGCATCCTGAGGAAAAGTACACGGGTGGAAAAGGAACAGGATCCAGCTGGACAACGCTCCAGTCGCAGAGAAGCTGTCAGCACCAGAGCGGTGGACAGCGACCTATCTGCTGCCGCTCCCAGAGATGCCTGTGGCCAGAGCCGTGCGGCAAGTTGTGGACAGCGACCTATCTGCTGCCGCTCCCAGAGATGCCTGTGGCCAGAGCCTTGCCGTGACTCGCCAGGTGTGGCGGGCGCCCCGAGATCCAGGGGCCCAGAGCGACCCCGAGATACCCGCACACACCACGCCTGAGGCCCATAGAGACACGGAGAAGCCCGCGGGGCCTGACCTGCCTTCCTCCAGACGCACGGCGGGGGAGCCTGCGGACCTGCCGTGCCATTCCAGGAGTGCGCCCAGAGAGCGCGCGCACCATAGTAATTTAATTACGATATGCCATAGGAAAGTTCTTCTGAGGTCAAGTATATATAAGGTTCTATATTCTTTCTACACCTGGATTTCCATTTCAATCCCCAAATTTGGGATGTTTCTTGTAGCATTTCTATATCATTAAGTGATAGGTTTTCTAGTTTGTCTATTTTGATTGTGCTGGTGTTTACTCTTTTAATTGTGTCCCAGAGATTTTGTTCAATTTATTTTTATTTACTAATGTCTTTTGATAATTTATCACCCTTTTCTTCAACCCTTGGCATTCTTTCTTCTACTTGATCTAGGATATCAGTGAGTAAATGGAATTTTACTTTATCTGATTTATTGAGATTTTCATTTCTAAAATGTGTTTGATTTATTTTTGAACTCTCTAAATTTAAATTGTTCATATCACAAATTATGCTTAACTGATTGAGCTGTTTGTTTGTTTCTATTTCTTGGATTTCACTGATATTTTTTAAAAATATTTCCTTGATTCTTTGGCTAGTTATTCATATGAACTCACAGTAATGGTGACTCCATGCACATTTCCTAAATAAACTCAAGACAGACAAAATCCTAGCATGGTGGTGGGTAAGTGGTAAGAAACCGCAAGACGACCTGAGAAACTATTGGCAACCACTGTCAGATGGGAGGGGGGAGAGTCAATCTCATTTAAGGATGAGACTCTTTGCAGTTTGAGCAGACTTCAGTGGATGGATCCACGCTGAGGGATACTTGGGGATTCAAATTAGACTATATAGGCCTTCATATATAATATACCTTATATACTAAATATTTAATAGAATACAATAAATTAGGTGAAGGAGTAGTAAGAAGAGTTGGGATAGGGGAGTGAATCTAAATATGATAAAAAATACTGAACGA